TATCAGTTTTCTGTCAGGATAATCCCACAGTGCTTCCATATTATTGAGGTCCAGGCTCTGGGGAGGCCAGTCCTGACTGATAATGTTCCACTGTGTGTTTTCTGTCCAAGTATGTTTGTACTGCATTGGCAGTGCGCTTGGGAGCGTTCAATCAGACACTTTCCATACGGTACACGCTCACTATTGCACGTGTCTGACCTCATCCGTAGATGTCGATGACAATTTGAAACAAAAATGTCAAATTTCAATTCGTCACTGCATAAGACTTGTTTCGCCCTGATTTTCAGTCCAGTTCTTATTAAATTTGTAATACCTCGGCCTTTTCATCCTCTTTCCATTCGTTAAAAATGGCTTCTTGACAGCCACTCTCCAGACCATTTCTCATGAAGCTTCAGTAGGTGGATCAATTGAAAAGCCAGATGTATCTCTCACATCCCGTGTCAAGAAAAAGCCTATTTCTAAGAGATGACTTTCAGACACTGTTCAGTGTCAGGTCACACTACATTCAATGCTGAGATAAATTTTTTGGCTAATAGCTCTTTTGGAATCACCTTGTTGCTGCAAAAACTGTTTTATGTCTATCAAACTATATTATCATTGGGATTTTTCAGACTCAACTAGAGAAATGGGAATAAAAACAAAAGAAAACAACAACAACAAAAGAAACAAATAAAAAAAAAAATTAAAACATTCATCTGAAAATGGTCATTGGAAACAAAATAAGAAGAAATGAGGAATGGTTCAAGACATAGTACTGCATATTTGCTCTGTATCACCTGGTTGTATAAAGAACAAAATATTTGTTTACATTATACATGGTGGTTTGCTTTAGTGGTGGGAGTATAAAAGTGGGTGAGCTTAAATTGCTTATGCACTCAAAAGTATGCATGCAGAACGCAGGTTTTTGATATATAAAACACATTCAGTTCCCCATTTCCCCTAAAATAATAATTATAATGATGATAATAAACTCACTGTTCCCTCTCAACCTTTGTACCCCTGCAAAATATTGGTGCAGTCCCTTTACCAGTTTCTTATATTTTTATTTAGTTCTTAGGTAAACTAATTATCTTGAGGCAAATAGCTCAGAGTTTAGCAGCAAACATGATTATTATGAAAGTTATTAACAAAATTGAGATATATCATAGCTCCCTTATAAAAATACTTAAATGCTGAGTGAGGTAAAGAGAAACAGCATGGGCCTTGTAAACTCTCTATATGACACAGTATGATGCATATAACCCATGCCTTGGAGCAGCAGGGCAGGGTGGGTGCTTGTGGTCACTGTCTCTGCTCTTAGTGTCTCCAGTGGGCCCCCCTGCACATTTAACCCAGTGGCTTTCTGCCAAACCCCAAGGTAGCACGCAATGAAAATGAGAATGTTGCCTTAGGAGTTAAAAAAAGTTATGCTTTGATCATCCTCTTTGGCTGTTTATTCCCATGCTTGTTCAGCTATATCTACAGAATTAGTATTGCTGGGTAAAATGGGACTTTAAGTGCAATCGTTTAGGTTTTCTGCTACCTTACCATTATTGCTACCAAAAAGGTTGCAAATTGAGATTCTCCTTGTCTCTTGTCAACCACCAAGCCAGAAAAATACGTCATAAGGGACATGATACAGTAATTTGTGGTTTTGGCTATAAATATGATGCATGATACATAGAGAAACACAGAATATTCATTTTCCCCAGAGGCTTTGTTAAATGAGGTACCTGCTGCAATTTTCATAACTTTAAATATATAATGTTCCACAGAGGCTTTTTTTTAGAGGTGTTGCCAAAATGAGGAGTACACAGAGATATCGTCATAACTTTTAAGGTAATTAACAACTAATTTTCTTAAATACTGAAGTAATTAAGAAAATAGATAGCTGGATAAACAATTTACTTCACTTCATTTCAACTTTTTATTATATAGCAACAAATTACAACAACAGTTGTTTCCATCAATCCATCCATTTTATTCCACTTATCCTTCAGGGATCAACCTGTCCCAGCTGCCATTTCAATCATATATATTTAGTTGTATTATTTATTGTATTATTTAATTTAGTTTAGTTACTGTTCTTACTGTCTTGGAGCAACTGTGACCACATAATTTCCTCAGGGATTAATAAAGTATTCTGATTTTGATTCATAGGGTGCGAGACAGGGTGCACCTAGACAGGAGGCCAATCTGACAAAGGGCTCAGTTGCCTCAAGGCGCTTTAAAGTGTAAGGTAAATGTATAACCCTACAATAATACATAATGCAATCAGAAGACCCCCCTATGAGCAAGCACTTGGCAACAGTAAGAAGGAAAAAACCCCTTAAAAGGAAGAGACCCCCAGCAGAACCAGGCTCAGAGTAGGGCAGCCAACTGGCATGACTGGTTTGGGGTGAGGGGAGGACAAGTAACTAATTTAGTATTAAGACAACAGCTTAATCTTTTTATTGTCATTTATGTAAGTTTCTACCGAGATCACTCAAAGAAATTATTACTCTTAGGAAGCAAATACAGAACTTATCAGATATATAGATCAGGATTTATCACGGCATACAGAGATAAATGCAGAAATAATGCTCCTATGTTCCAATGCCAAACTGCAATGCAGTTCAGCATGAAAAAGGCTAAACTCTTTTCTAGTCATGTTAGCAGAGCTTAAAACTGATCATGTGTTTGGCTAGTTGAGTGTCTGGAGCATCAGCCTAGTGGATAATCAAAACGCCCCTCAAAAAGTACTTTATTCTGAAACTCGTGAAAAAATGGCAAAAATTGCCTCAGAACGATGGATTTCATACTCCTACAAGGTTACACAGCAGCAAAGTTTGGCTCCTACCAAAAAAGAACAAAGTGGGAGGCCCTGCTGCACAAATGAGACAGAGGGTAAGTAAATCAGTCTCTAGGTTGAGACAGAGATGCCTCACAGGTCCTTAACTGGCAGTTTCATTAAATGGTACCCATTATGGCACAATTGTGTTGGTGTGCAGAGTGGTTGATATTGTTGTGTGAAAACCTTTGGCAGTTCCCCCTTCTTTTGAGGTACATTGAGACTATGATTAAACTCACACAGAATGGTGCACCAGACGCTCCGCTAGCAGAATTTATTGCGTCTTTAATCAACAGTTTTCGGCGTGACGACTTCTGAAAATGGGCCTTTGTATGTTTGCGCAAATTCATAAATGGTTTATGAAGAACGATCTCTTTAATTACTGTCAGTTTCAGCATTTCTGATTAATATTTATGTCATATGCTACATTTTTTGCGTGACCTCAAACTTCGTGTGTGAGGACAGACATTTTTTAAAGGTTTTTTTTTTGTCACCTTAATATAGGATTCTCATATAGCAAGGGGACAAAACAATGTCAAGTATATTTTTAATTTGCTAAAAACAGTGTTGGAGAGAAAAAGTCCAAAACAATGTACACAGCTACATGCAAAAATCCAGACATCAGACAGTTCTTTTCCTCCTTAAATTTAGAAAAGCAAAAGCAGAAAATGTTCCTGTTTTCCTCTCTCGTGCTGACTTTGTGGTGACATGGATATTTATAATGGGAAACCAACGTCTGGTGCCTACCACTCTTTCCTCCATAACTGCTGATGTTTGCATCCAATCCATTCCTCTTTTATGTAAAATGATCATCAGTGCCATCCTGGATGATCCAGGCTTGCACCAAATTGGAAATATTACAATAATTTAACTCAGTTTAATGCACAAAATGTTCTTTCTGCAGCCTTAGTTTATGTGGACGAAGACGTATTTATACTTGTGCCTGTGTATTTTTACCTTGTGGTTACTTATGGCTATTGGTCAACACAATCAAAGTGGGAAAAACATTTTTTGAGGTACAGCATCACCACAAGTGCTCAAAACAGCATTAACGGTCCCTGAGGATATCCGTGAGAAGGAAAGAAGTGGATGTAATCACGGGCCCAGGTCCACCCAGTGGTTACTGGTCATCAGCACAACCCAAAGATCAGCCAATGACATGGAAGCAGCCTTCCCTGTCTGTCTATATAAGCTGAGAGGAACAAGTAAGAATCAAGGGAGGGGGGACACTCATATCTTTCAGCTGTCCATCCAAGATTGCTTAAGATATAAAACTAAATGCGTTGATTGTTAAAATTATAAGGAGCCGATATGAAGGAGGAGATGTGGCAATTTTCCTGCATCCACATGAAAGCAAGAAGTTAAAAATACAGTTTTTTGGGGTCTTATGAGTCACGTCATTTTTATAAGAGCCTGAAGTTAAATATATCCACCCAGGTGGATACTTTTCAAGTTAAAGCTTAAGTCAAGTGTATTATTCGTGTAGCCCTTAATCCTAGCTACCCTCCCAGAACGCTTCTTAAGACCAACATTGTGGAACATCAAATGAACTTTAAGACCTGCAGTGAGAACAACGAAATCCCCCCCTCCCCCTCCCAATTTATCTGTACTACAATTAGTCACTCAGCTCCAGCTGAAACCTTAAGCAGTCCAACCACATGCCCGAGTTAGTGCTGCTGCTTTAGGCGTCTCCTGAGCGCTTATCTCAAAATGCATCAGAATAAAGAAATTGCTATGATTAGCCTTAATGACAAAATTACAGCACAAACAGACAAATACTTTATGACTTTAATGATATATGTTTAAGTGTTCAGATGATTTCCATGCTGTACATGTGGACGCACTGGAGTTTGTGTGATAGTTTTTGGAAGCTCTCTAATGATACAGGAATGATGCTGGGGAAAAATATTCTATAGATGGTGCAGACATGTCATTTGCTTGCTCGTAAAATTAGTTTATTAAATTAAAGTGACTCAAAACTTTGACCACAGTGTTTACGTTCCAGTTTTAAACCTGCAATTGTGATTTCTATTTCAGGGTGTAATAAACGTTTATTAATGCTTGTGCTGAATAAAAAAAGTCTCTCACGTGCAGCCTCTCGGTTGTTGACTGTCTATTTCCAGCTCTGTGTACACAAATATACACAGTGGAAACCATGATGGCAGGGATGTATATATACAGCAGTGGAGGACGGCCATATTCCTTCTGGTCATCAGGGTGACCACAGGTGGTTTCCATGTAAAATACCACTGTCTGATCAGTGAATATAGACCCCTTAGGGTTTTTCCCAACTGACTTTATTGCTCTTGCTGTCTACAATCTGTCTAAAAATGGTTGCCTTCAAAAACTGCATTGCTTGTTCTTTTCCAGTTTGAATTTTTAAAATCTTAGTAGCAAAGTTGTCCTTGACTTTGATTCTGGTAGAGTCTGGCTCTATGATCAGATCAATCATCAGGTTGGAAGCAGAAATGTAAAAAATGAATGAGATTCTTAGAAGTCCAGTGAGAAAAAAAGTCTGAGTCCGTTGTTATAATGCAGAGTAGCCCATGCAGCTTATGTGCACCACCTCACCTCGCAGGTTACGGACAAAGTGTGGTTCTGTAAGTTCTCCCTGGCAAACTCTACATTTCTGCTGCTTGTCCACTCTGAACTTTGTTTTTGAGGCCTGCATCTGCAGACGAGAGAGTAACAGTGCAACAGGGCTCATAAAGAAAAAGGAGAAATTCAGTGTTCACTGCAGGAAAAATGTGAACTGTATCATTAAACTCACCCAAGTGACCTTGTGCCTCAGGAGCTCCGCCCGGGCAAGAGCCTGTTGCAATCTCACCATCTGCCTCTGGTGGAAGGTTTCCCTGAGGGATACGACTAAAAACTGAGAGACCAGTTGAACAGACCAGGACTCAGGAAGGAGCTGGAGTACCTTCTCCAGTGCAAAAACGTGAGGTTGGCTGTTAAGAAGATCCACAGCTGCGCCTGTGAGATCCTTGGAGCTCAGGTAGATTTGGAGAAGAGTGAGCAGGAGGACCTCCCTGAATTGTGAGTCCTGGTCCTGGGCTGCCCTGCAGCAGTAGGCCTCTGCAGCCTGGAGGTCTTTCTCCACGTGTACAAGCATCTGCAGTGCTTGGTAGTGTTCACCAGACCTACCAAGGAGAATGGCCTTTTCTGGGTGTAGGGTTGTTGACTTTACTCTGTCTGCAATGAGTTAAAAAACATGACGTTTACTTTAACTTGCTGCTAATTCCACAATGATTTATTTTAATACGCACACTAATTCACACACCATACACTGTGGAGATGTTATAGAATTTGGACTCCCATAGCAGCTGCTGCAGCTTCCCTCTGGTCACCCTCACTCTTTCATCTTCCTTTTGCAGCATCTGAGTAACATATGCCAGGGCCAGACGGTTGTGATGGCTCTCTTCCTGGGGGCAGATTACATCAATCATGTCTGCGCATTTAATTTAGGTTATTAGATTAAGGAGCTGTTGGTGTACCCACCTCGCTACTTAAATCATGGATTAAGTACTCAAGATAGAAAATCAATGCCAGTGGAAACGTCTCCAAGAATGTGAGGACATCTTGTGTTTCAAATTGACCATCTGGTGGGCGCTTGATGAAAATCTGCACACCTGTCTTTATCAAATAAAGTAAAATGTATTTAATCACTACAAATTGGTTTATAAGGCAATTTCTACAAAAAAGGTGGTGCCATTTAGAGCTGTTGACGTATACAGTCGCAGATACATTTATATTCCGATAATCTTATGGGATTTATCGGCATTTAAAACAAGAATTTAAACATAAAAAAAACCTCTGGCTCTGCCACTGACTTTATGTTCGACAAATTGCTGCCATATGAGCACACAGTGGCCCTTGGTTTTTCAACCATATCTGCCACACCCTCATCAACTTCAGTTTCATTAAAACAAGACGATGACAGCCAAAATTATCAGCTCAAGGCTTCAAAACAGGAGTACATAAATCACTGGTTGATGTCCACATATACAGTATATGGTTTATGTAGACAAGAGACAGATTAAAGGAAAAAAAACACCTCACTGTTTCTTAGTAAAGCATGGGAGTGGGACCATGAATCACTTTAGCAGCTTTAATGCACTTTACCATTTATTTATTTAGCATTTCTCAGACTCTGATGGAGGGATGGAATATGATTCTTTCTAAAGATAACCCCTCATTTGGTGTTTTGATGATAGTGGTTCAATGCACTACCAAACCTTAAAGGTCACTGCAGGTGATTCAAACAGTTTCACATGTATTTAACCATTGAGTGACTCTACTGCAGATGAGGGTATCAACGTCCTGGAAGAAGCCATTCCACCAATCAGACAAAGCAATTCAGATTTTCCTTTAATTTGTCACTTTTCTGTGTCTGCAATACATAGCTATATTGTACAACTCTGCCCTCTGCAGTTTGGTAGTGAGCGTGAAAAATGAAAAAGGCACCTCTTGGTTTCTTTGTAAAGTCCAATCTGCAAATGCCCACACGGTGTCTTTGTCTCTGAGCTGACTGAGAGTCGCCACAATGTGTCCATATACATCTGAGCAGGAAGAATCTTTACACAAGCCATCTGTAATCTTCACCCAAGTCTGGAAGAATACAACCAGTTAAAATACACTGCTTTCATACATCAAGTTTGTGTGAACATATGTGATGTTTTTTTGGATGGGGGGGGGGTACCTTTACTGCATCAGTGTGCAGCCCGTGGCTTTCGTAGAGGGAACCTAAAGCAAAAAATCTGTAAAACAAAACAAAACAAAACAAAAGAAGTCAAAATGATTCTCAAAAAGTAAATTATCTGAAATAAATAATCTAAAATCAAAAGCATGGTTGTGTCCTAAGCAAAATATTCAGATTTATAGGTATGATTTCAGATCATTTGTATAACTAATAATGATTCATTTTCACCTGTGGTGTTGCTCCAGAACAGGGACACAGAGGTCCAGACTGCACTTACTGGGAAAAGCAACAAGCTGTTGGAGTTTTTCATCATCATTCATTTCTACATACAGCCTCAGGAGGGTGCTGTCCACTTCCTTACTGCACTTCAGGCCTCTCTCTGTCCCCCTTACTGCTCTGAGAAAATCTCCCAGGAAGGCCAGGTAATGATGAAATTTGTTTCTGTCCTCCTTCTTGAGCAGCTGGAGATCTCTGCCCTTGTTTATTTGATCAAGATGAGATTGAAAGTCTTCGCTGAGACACATATCCGGGTACAGGCAAATGATTTCTCTCGGGTCCAGCTCACCTTTACTGTTCAAGTGGGTAATAAGTATACATTTTTTCATATGGAAGAAACAGAAAGTACACATCTTTAAAGCAGTGTTCTGAGATTTATTTAGCATGTATTTTGGAGTGTTTTGTTACGGGAGAGGGAGTTTGGTCTCACATGAATAGATCTTTGGCTTGGGAAAAACCCTCCTGGTAAAAATGAGCAAATCCAGCCAGGCAAGTGATGGCCTTCTGTAGCTCCTGCGAGGGGAAAATAGTCTTATTTTTAAACCAGGCACATATTGTATGAGCATATTTAACGCACCAATATGTAAACTGAAATTACTGAGGCAGAAGACACTGTGACTCTCTTGAGGCTAAAATGTTACACTTCAAGAAAAACAAGTAGCAGAAAAATGGGAAATGTCTATGATTCATGATTGTGTTAATTAGCCTCTTCATCTTTAACCTGTAAGCTGAGATGTGGCACAGATTACGCTAAAAGTCAAACGCTGTCAATCTGCTGTCTTCAGTTGCATTCACCGATATCGAATATACCTGCGTATACTCTCTGTAAGGTAACAAGTCTATGCTTTGACAGTCTGATCAATGGTAAATTCAAACCATATTATGCATTGCCAGTTGGGTTTGTAATGCATGAATCTGAAAGTCAATATGATTGTACAAAGCAGCCGGAGCTACAGCAGCACACAAGCAGGCAGCAAAAGTAAAAGATTTGGAGGCTACCTGATAACGCCAAAGCTATATTTTTAAATCAGTGTGATGTGAGTTTGCATCCTTCAGTGTGCCTATAAATTCCGTTTCACCTTGTATGAGTCAAGTGGATGACGGCTTTGAGCCCCTTCCAGCAGCAATAAGGCCTCCTCAACCCTTTGGTGCCTTACAAGTGCCTGGATCTGCTCTTCGAATGGCACCAGGCTCAGGCTGAAAATGTCTCTCTCTGTGAACACTAACACACCATCTGAGGGGACATTTGCTTTTGGTTTTTAGAAACTCTCAGAAGGTGCAAGAACGACGGACTATATTTGAGCAAACTGAGACAAACATGACTACGTCTTTTAAAAACAAAAGCATGCTCTTTGCGATCAGATGAGAAACTGATGTCACCTGATTTACCTGAAGTGGAAAGTAGACCCCTTGCTCCAGTGAGACTCACAGTCTGTTTGCGTTGCTGATCCAACATGCTGTAAACAGACAACAGTTCGGGCTGCAGGCTTAGGACGTAAGGGAAACATGCCCCGGCTGCCAGCACCTCCTGAGGCCACTGCAGGGGAGGGCGCTGGCATATCCCTGTCTTCATCACAAACATGCCTGAGGGATGAGAATGGAGAAATGATATCTTGGCAAAATAAATATCCTCTGGCTAGATGGATTAATGACTTATGAGTGATAGAAAATGAGCTGTTTTAGAAGCTAAGAATAATGGCACATGAATGTAAAGCCTGTTGGATATTTTGGCAGCTCTTACCCAAAAATTCGGGCCCATTCAGGAGGAATTCTCCTTCTCCCAGTGAGGTAACGATAACATGCTGCCTGCTGTGATTATGAGGAAAGAGCTCCTCACAGCTCCCAGTCTGAATATCACAGAGGAGGTACCTGTCACTGGTGGCAAGACACAGAGTTGCACCATCCACCGCCAAGGCCACAGGGTCTTGGAGCACAGAGACCTCCTTTACAACCTCCCACCTGTCCACTCCAACCACATGGATCCGGAGCACTTTCCTGCGGCTGGAAGACGTCACCATCTGCACACACGTCCCCTCCGATGCGAGCAATGAGTCGCACACCTCAAACAAAGACACATGCTGGATCTTCTTCAGAGCAGGAACAGGCTCTAAGGAAAACATGTTGAGGGCAGTAACGCTCCGGTCCCACAGGACCAGCAGATGGTTGAAAAGTGGAACTGCCCTCAGTTGATTTACAGAGTTGCTTGAGCCTAGTTTTCTTGCCCTACCTTCTCTGATTTTGGTCAGGCCAGGGCTATTGTCTCCATTTGTGCTGCTTGTCAGAATGAGGTGTTGGACTGTTGCATCTTTAGTCCCTATGTAAACATTTTGGTCATAGCACTCAAGGCACTGGATGCAGGATTTGTCCTCTTTCGAGACTGCTCGTTTTTCATATATGTGAGCTTGTCTGAAGGCACTAAAAGCCATTGCAAAAAAGTATTAATGTTGAATAATGGGATGCAGTTCAAGCAGAAGAAAAAGGAGTTCTTTCAAAAGTCACTGATATATGCTTAAATCAAAGCTAAACACAGTAACATGTTCCTACCTCTCTGTTGTCCAACCTTCCTCTAATTCCTCTACAAGTTTATGAAGTGTAAAAAAGTTACAACTCCCCCCATGTGACTATATCCTGACAGGAAATCTATGTCAGCATTTTTTACTGCTCATCCTGCCATGTGAGGACACTTACACAACTCCTCCAACAGCCTCACCAAGAAAACAAACTTTTACAAGTTCATGGTGAAGAAGATGAATATTTTTGAGGTGGCCACAGTTATGGCTTCTTGTGTTCTTGGTATGCGCGTAGGGCTGAAGCGGTCACTTTGGTCAGTGGATAATGGACAAGCAGAAGCGATCTGCTGATCGTGGTTTGTTTGAGTTTGTTTACAACGTCCGTGAGATGGGTGTGATGAGGTCAAGAGGCAACAGAAACACAGCAAGTGGGATTGTTTTATAGCAATGATTGCCCCGAGGATGACTGAGAGATGACACTGTGGTCATAAAAACAGAAAAAAAACCTACCACCGCAGCTATATCTGTTACAGTGAACTTTGTGCCCTCTGTCCTCACTATGGAATTTGAGTTAAATATACAAAAGGCCCGGAGCAGATTAAGTTATGATGACATGAACAAAAGCAGTACTAAAAAAGGATCTATATGGCAAGACATACTTCACCTGAGGCAAATCCAAAAACCATGCATCATTTATTGTTTCTTTAGTGTGGATACATTTATATCTAGGCACAACAGATGTACAATAAACTGCATCAGACAGCTAATGGTTGTTTTGTCATCAAGAAAAACATACATGCCAGATTAACTTTAAAATCTGTGTGTGGGTGTGTGTGAGTGACATACAAGAGATAATGTTTTCTTTTTTAAAAAAAACAAACACACCAAAATAATGACACTTGAAGGCTTTTTATGTGCAAGGCATTCTTGTGCGAGACTTTCGTAGATCCACAGTATTTCTATCAGACAGCAGGCGTTGTTGTCATTTGGGTAGAGCTGTGATCCTGGCATGTAAAGGTCATTTGTCCCTCCCGCAGTCAGTGCACAAAATGTTGTCACGCTGGGTGAGGAAGCCACGTCCCACCAGTGACACAGAGCACTGCATGCAGGTGAAACACTCACTGTGCCACTGGCGTTCCTCAAAGGAGATGTACTTGGCTCCTGCCAGACCTGCACGCATCAGAGAGCCATGCATTCATGTCAATATAAAATCATCACCTTGTGTTGCTAACGCTCCCTCGACAACACAGACTTAAAAGCTTAAATGTGAGGAGTAGAGCACTTGCTTGGTATTAGATTAAATGAAAACTCACTAGTAATGGGCTTGGTGCAGCCCACACACTTCTTTGCGTATAGGTTGCTGAAGCACTCCAGGCAGTAGGGGTAATTTTCTCTGGTGGTGAAGCGCTGGCCTGACAGCTGCTTTCTGCATCCAATGCACAGAAAACACTCGCGGTGCCAGGGCTTCTCTTGGTAGGTCACCCCACCTGTTGTGATGGCCTAGAAGAAGCACAAGCAAGAGAAATAGAGCGCTCAGCAAAAAGAGATATACAGTGCTATTCCCATTTCTTCCCTTTATTCTCCTCCCTGCAGTGTGACTAACACAAAAATGCCAGAGTCAGGGGGATTTACTGTAGCACTCAATACACGTAATCCACTCAGCTGTAACCCTACCTTCTTACAAGCGGAGCACTGGTATGCAAACTGCTTCTCGAAGCAGGCCACACAGAAGTAACCGGTGTCTTTAGGGATGAAGGACTTGGTTCCTATTGGCTGCTGGCAGCGGTGACACAGGAAGCAGGTCTCATGCCAGCTGTTCCCCTTGTATTCCATTTTGCGGGAACCTGGCACACGGGACGAGAGCAGCTTAGTCAGCATATGGTCCCTCTATGACAGAAACACACCGCGGCCCAAAGCTGGCCTGCTTTGTCTGCAGGGAGGGGATGATGCAACTGAAATAATCTTGGAAAGAATTTTAGGCAAAGGAAGAAATTCTAGTCTTTTGAACTCTTTTTTTCCCCAATAAGAAATACATGTGTGTAATAAAAAACATGACTATTTGTTGAATTTACATTTTTCCAGGCATATCTTTTGTTCATTGTAGCTTCAAAGTCGATACTTTAAGAGGTTTCACCAATTCATTGCTGCCTTATCCTTAAATTTTAGCCATAACCTCTGAATATATATTTAACACTATATTATGATCTAGCTTTCAGGTGACATTATCCAGCACCATCATCACTGCATGTACCTGGCATGATGGTTTTCTTGCAGGTGGTACACTTGGAGGAGTAATCCTGTGCATGGCACTCAGTGCAGAGCAACAAATCATCCTTGGCGGCAAAGGCCTTTTCCACTAGAGGGCGGCTGCACTTGCCACACTTGAAGCACTGCTCGTGCCAGTGACGATCCTTATAGGAGAGATCCTGCAAATATTTTGCATGTGATTATTATTGATGGTCTGTAAGGATCATGGTTCATTTAACAGCTCTAAAACTGAAATCCTTCCACATTTCTCATCTACAGACTCAAACCACTAACCTCACATTCTCATCTCGCACTACACTATTCTCACTGTCTACACTGTTGCTTCCTTACCTTGCAGTTACAGCCGATTGGTAAGGAGCATGCCTCGCAGTTGTTAGCGAACAAGTTCTCGTAGCACTTAGTGCAGTACTGCGTGTCCTCTTTCATTATGTACTTCTTCCCCAGCAGGGAGTCTTTGCAGTAATGGCAGTCTATACGCTCGCTGGTGGGCATCTTATTTGCTTTTCTTAGCTGCAGGTCAAAGAGAGCAGAAGGAGAAAAAAAAATGAACAATAAGGAAGAACAGGAGAGATAGGGAAAAGTAATAATAGTCCAGGCAATTTATCCTCTTTCTCATCAAGCAAGTAAAGAGGACAAGCAATTTCCCCTTCTTTCAAAAATAATTTAAAGGGAAAAAAACAACAGTGTTGTATTAAAGAGTTCTCTACCTCAGTTGATTCAGGGTGAGGATGAGACTGAAGCCAGAGACTGCAGAGGCACAGGGATGGGGCAGGGATGAAAAGGGGTCAGGCAGGATTATGGGGTATCCACTAGGGGGGCTCTTCTATAAATACAGGCCCTCTTATTAGCAGTGATCTCAGGGGAGAATGGACATACTTCACTGCATCGTTCTGCACCTTTTAAGGGAGTTGATGGTGCGCTGATCTCTAAGCCTTTGGACTGATTTATTCTTTGTTGTCTCATCCCCCGAATGCAAAAAAGCAGAGAGATTTGCAACTTTAGCACAAGAAGATTACTGTTGGGAAACATGACTGACCACCATATAAATGATGTAAGGCTTCCAAATCAGTTTCACATGTATACAGACAGTACATTAAAAGAGAAGATTTGAGCTTGAAAATGCTAAATCTTTTCGACACACTATTATCAGCTTGGACAGTGGTACCACAGCAGAGATAGTTAGTCATTTGGATGCTGTAACATGTCTGGACACACTTGTGGCCTTTGTCAGTGCCTCCTACACACACAAGCAGTTGCAGATGGCTTATGAGAAGTAGGTGCCAGCAGCTTTGTGACTGCCAGGTACTGAACTATATTGCCAGGACCTCTCAGTGGCTATTGAGAGCATCTTGGCAGCACTTCAGAAGGGTGAAGCTGCGTGCTTGTGGGCCTTCAATCCATCCCCAGCAAAATAAGAGAGGAGGAGCAGTAATGACAGTTTAAATGGCGACCATCCTGCTAATAGCGATACTCTTGTTACTCCTCTCGTTCTTTCCTACCCGTTTAAACATTTAAATTCACCTCCGTCTTTGACTGACGGTTGACTAATTGCATTTGAATCATGGAACATATGCTCCGATCAGTTTTCCAAAGGATCAGGGGAGCAGACATCTTCATAAAAATAGCCTGGGAAGACCACCAGCCCGACCCACTGGTTTAATCCCTCACACACACACACACACACACACACACACACACACACACACACACACACACACACACACACAGGGGAAGGTCAGTGACAGTGATGAGGCTGACAGGAATGCAGTTTTGTCTAGATGAACTCTATTCCCCTTTGTCTTCTCTCTACATTAACTCCAGTAGCACTCCTTGTGAAGAAATTCATCTAGAATTACACTCTGGTACTAAATCCATTTTGGGATCAGCAGATGATGCTGGTACATGGTTTTGCAGTGTATGTAGGCGGTATCTACAAACCTCTGAGGGATAATGTAACACCATGCTATTTTTTTTTTACCTACGCTATATGTGTTATGTTAGGCTTTAAGCACAAAATAACAATTTCATGTCAGTAATTCAGGCAGGTTTTTTGTAATATATATAATTTTTTTTTTTTTTTTCTGATTTCAAGTCATAGCATCCTTCAGGTTCTTCTTAATTCTAAGCAGATCCACTGGATTACACCAAGTTGTCTGGTGCTCTGGATTAAGTTATCACTGTATTGAATCCTTATCTCCCGCTGCTCTTCATAGCAGTGGCTGCAAATCAAAAAGCCACACAAAATGTAAACAAACCAAGCAACCCAACCGTAGGACCAGTGCGGCCACTGCCTTGCGAAAGCTTCTAATCTTTGTTGCATTGCTTCTCTGTATGTCTGTCGTCATGTGACACGCAGGCAGGGAGGAGGTGACCTATATTCTCCAGCAAACAAAAACTCTTACTCCTCTCCCTGAGTGTGTTGCCATAATACGAAAACCATGAGAAATAAATTGCATGTCAACCGCCAGTGTTATTCATTGGATATTAAAGCGGAGATTATTGTTTATTGAAGCTCTATCTGATAATCTGTGCAGGCATGGTTGTGATTTTATTATCGTGGCTTTGATTTGTATCTGATGGGAAGCAGGTGCTGGTTGTTGTCTCTCGGATTATTAACTTCTAGAGCAGACAGCACCAACTCTGCCAAGCAAAAAGCTTGCTGATCTTGCATATTCCTTTTTGCCCGCATAATCCTCTGAAGTCAGCTAGTGGGCAACTGCCAACAGATTTCTTATGTGGCCTGTCAAGCCCCAATAAATAGGCCTTTATTTGACCTGGACTCAGGTGTCCTCTTATCTTAATGTATTCAGGCTTTACAATAATCAAATGATCGCAGAGAAGAAGAGAAGCATTTACTTTGGTGGCTCCTTTGAGGTGGTGACTTGTTGTAGACTGAGACAGATCAACACGACACAGTTGCATCTCTCTGAAGCACAAAAGCCTCACTGCACCAAAGCTGACAGCTGGTTGGCATGGTGATGACAGCATAAGTGGGATCCATTAGATTGAGATGAGGAGCTGCCCCAGTAGTTAATAAGTGGACTCACAGAAAGCTGCCCTTTGAGCAGGCCTCTGTGCTTTTCTGCCATGTGGAGAGTCTGCTTTCAACACAATATTTCTAACTGAACAGGATAGCCACACTGGGGGGTTGCCGGGGGGAGGAAGATACAATCTACTAAGTCTACAATATCACAAAACATTACACCCCTTCAGGGAGGCCCCGTGAATGCCGGGGTAATGCCTTCACCAACTCTGCTCCTCAATCCCCACTCTAGTTCTCACCAAAGTGAGTCATGGTATGAGCAAGTGACAAGATGTGTTACAGAGCCAGAACTCTGATCGCATTACTAAAGAGGAGACAGAATTGTCACCTCATAGGCATGTAGAGCCGGAGACTTTGTAGAAGAAGGACTTTGCTACAACCCATTGAAATGTTCTCTGATGACTTGCCTTATTTTGTAGTATTTGGATCAGCTGTAGGTAAAGTTAGCGTTTCACTTCGAATGACAGTGTAGTGCTGAATGTTAGAATTTTTGCAGGCATTTGGAAGTATTTAAATTCTAACATGCCTTCTAGAAAGCTTCTCTTCTTTCTTCTGTTTTCGGCAACACCATCCTGTAATGGTAGCTTCATGCTTACTGAAAGACAAGCAGTGAAGCATAAATAAACAAGTGCAATGTAAACATGCTTCAGATTCTTAGACAATTATAAAAAAAACCCTGCACACTCATTAGTGTGGTAGGAATTTAAATGTTTAAAAAAAAAGCTGGTGGGAAATTTTGGAACTAATTAGGTTAATTGGCAACACATCAATATTGGTATTGGGTGTTGGTATTGGGTATCTTAGAAAGGCATAGTTTCTCAAAAGTGGGCAGAGGTTCACCAGTCTACAAAAAACTGCATCTACAAATACAAAACAGTTATCGTCTAGACTGCATAATATCATCAAAATATTCTGGGAGAATCTTATGGAGAAATTCTCAGATTAAACATCTTCAGTTTTCTGTGTTTTATACAGTGAAAAATGTGGATTTGTGAGATTTCCTAATCACTATATTCTGTTTTTATTTACAGTTTACGCAGCTCCCTTTTTTGGAATTGGGGTTGTTTAAAAAAAAAAAAAAAACTAGGATAGAGGCTAGAAGAAAGATGAAAGGAAATGCAAAGTGCAAAGTGAGTGATAATAACCTCCAGGTTCATCGGTACAAGTCATCTCTGATATGACCATTGTGAAATGTTCTGTATTCTGTGCAACAGAGCAAATGTGAAATCTACAGTTAAGAACAGTGACCCTTGTCTGTGGCACGGACAATCTCCCCACAACCGTCTGAACTTTCACATTAATCCCCAATTGACATGGATGGATTATTTCTGCCACTGATCTCAGCAACACACACAAACTTATCCTACATGTTGACCTGTGGCGTTGAGTGGAGGTACTTGACAAAACTGTGTCATCTCTGCGTGGTGTATTGGATGACTGGAAATACCAAAGTACCAGTGAGGATATGGGGTAACTAACAACAGCCGGAAGATTGATTTGTAACCACCACAACACTCTCTCGCCCCTCTCATCAATCAGCTATCAAGGCTTTTGGATGGCTATTTATACCGCCGCCTGTATTACATGGCAATGTAGAACAGTGTGGGCATTGAGTGTGGAAATGACATTTGATATAGATGCAAGAATGCACATTAGGTAGCATCCTGCAAAATATTTCAAGCCAAATGAGAATGTTGACACAATATTTATAAGACAAATTTAAAGGAATAGTTAGGAAATAAGCTTATTTGCTTTCCTGCCAAGATGCAACTGATACAAATGTCATGTCTGCATAAACGCTATGACACTACGGCAGCAGCTGTTTAGCCTAGCTTAGCTTAGCTTAGCATAGTTACAGGGGAAACAACTGTATGGGGATTAAACAGGTATTTGTTTAACCCCATTTAAAATGGCTGTGCTGCTTTTATAGAGCTCAGCTTCACTACGAGAGTTTGTTTGTTTTCAATTTTTATGCTAAGTTATGCTGGCTAGCTGGGTTTATAATAATATTAATAATAATAATGTATACTTTATTAATCCCTTAGGGAAATTATTCCTCTGCATTTAACCCATTCACTCAGTGAAGCAGTGGGCAGCCACCAATCAAGCGCCCAGGGAGCAGTATGTAGGTACCTTGCTCATATAGAAGTGGATTTCCAAATGTGTAAAAGCAAGCATCATGTTTTTTCCAGATAGTTTTAGCATAATCCAGCCATCCTTTGTCATGTAATACATTATGATCGGGCATCTCTGGACAAAAGAAGAAAAAATCATTCGTTTGTCCAAATCTTTATTTTCTTTTTGACACTATCAGACATATACAGTAAAATACAGCAGCTGCCAAGATACAACGATGGCGAAAAAAAACATGAACTGACTACTAACGGATTATTTCAGTGAACTGGCCTCAAATGGTACCTTCTGGAGAAACAACATCCCACCTAACCCTTAACACTACAGCGTTTTTTTTTAGGGAAACCAGGTCATATAGCATCTAGAGAATTACTCTCTGGTGCAGCAGCGATCCATGAACAAATTTAAACAGGAGAATAGACAAGCTAAAGCAAAAACAAAGAAAAGCTCCTTTTCTTTGTTTTTGTGCAAAAAAAAAGAAAAGAAAGAAAAGCAAAGAGAGAGAACATGAAGGAGACAGAAGACACCCAAAAAACAGATAAAAAAAAAAACCAATTCCTGTTTCAGTTCACTACATTGTTTAATTTCAGGGTCCACTATGACATTTGGAACCATACTCCATA